GCTGCTCAGTCCCTGTGGCTGTGAGGTGAAGGCTCCGCAGCTGCCTCCTGCCCCAGGTGCTGGAGAGGGAAGAACCTTTTTAACATGTTAGTCGGTTCTTAAACAAAGAGAAGCTCTCGCCTCGCCTATGCTGGTTTTAATTTTACGTCTTGTGTGATGTGTTTTTTATTCTGCTTTTTTTTCTGAAGAAGCAACAGTTCTTTGATGTATTCCTGTGCCGAATCAAAGCAACTTTAATAAAAATGTGAAATGAGATGTCTTGATTCATAATACAGCGTTGTCTCCCGTACACATATTGCACTTTCCTAGTTACATCTTACCCCTGAATGCTGACAGGGCAAGATCCACCTTTGATCCCATTCCTTTGGCCAGTTTGGAGGGTTATTTTCTGGCCTTCTCTTTGCCAGGTACAATCTTCAGGAAAAACTGTACTCGCAGTTCCACTGAGGTGTCTCTCTATTGTTTCTTGTCGATGCGCGCAATAAATATTCTGTAAAGCGGGGCAGTCGTTCTCTCATATGCAACATAACCAACCCGTTGACAGTTCCAGAGTGCTCTCTGCTCCTGTTCTTCGACAGCCGAGGAGTAAGTAAAACTTCTCCACCTTGTCGTTAATGTCAACGTGAGACTTTTTAAAGCGAGGGTGCCGAGGCTGTGCAGCGTATCCTCCGAATGATGGACAGAATCATGACAACCCTAAAGCCTGTAAATGCCAGAACCATTAGCAGTAACTCAATCATCCCAACACTCCGGTACAGTCTGTAACTGCCTCCAGGAGAAGGATCCTTGCAGCCCGAAAGCTGCACTATTTGGAATTTAGAGAGCATGAACGCTGCTTTTTTTTTTTTTTTTTTACTTTGGTAAATGCTCCTCAGAACAATGTAGCTCATCACTGGGGAGTGGTATTTTTTTATATATAAAAAATGTTACCCTTTCATCGTTTCAGTCACTCCACACGTACCCTGACAGCACAAAGTTCAGCAATACAGAGTGTCTCCAGCTCAATTCGGAACCAGCCGTGACCCGGGCAGTAACGCTCGGCTGCAGGAGAGGCTCATGAGCTTTGAGGTACTTCTTAATAAAGGGAAGCAGCCCAGTGAAATAATAGCATTTAAATTCTGGCATGAAATCTGCATGGATTTTTAGGAGGAGAGTAAAAAAAAAAAAAAAAAGCCTTTGCCACTCTGCAATTCTGCCGCTGATCTAATTTCTACGCGATTGCCTCCCGTTGCATCGCGAGCGCTGTTTGGTGCAGTGCTGCTTTTGGTTTGGAGAGTGCTGTAGATAAATGTCGCGTGGGAATAATCACTCAACTTCATTTTCCTGCTCTTTCTCTGTTAACACATATCACTAGTATTGACAGCTCTGCAGAATGGTAGAATCGAGTCCTTCTGTCTACACAGCGCCCCATGCGTGTGCATCATCCTGACAGGATTATAAGACTCCGCAGCTTGCGCGTCCTCGGCGTTGCCGGTAGGCTGATGGGAAATGTCACTGGCAAATCGAAGGCAGGTCCTGGAAGACTTTTCCCATGAGTTCCTGTACGGTTCAGTGTTGGAAGAGTCTCAAAGTGCAACTTCAACAGCTGATATTTTCTTAGAGTACCGAGCAATTAATTTGGGCAAGCGTGGAGTTGCATGCGCACAGTAATTAACGAGAAAAACACCTTAGGCCAGCATAACAAGGTGGTGTGGGTGTCCTCCACTTTGAGATTGTTCCTTGTAATTGCAGCAATTTAACTGACTTGATCAATGTAACATCCCTGTGTAGTCATGTCAGCGTGCCATGAGGCAGGTATTCTTAAAAACAGGTTAAATGCAACGGGCTCTGCCCAAAAATGTACCTGCCGTAGGGCACCTTATTTAAATAAGAACGTATAGTCCTGTGTAAACTGTCAGCAGTAATCCTTTTACAGGGCTGACTAAATTCTGAAGCTCTGACATGCAGACCGTTCTCTTCCTTATATAGGGCTGGATAAGTGCTGGGCAGTAATGAGATTGGAATAAAAGGCTTTGCTAACAACGATGAACTGGCAGTCCCGGCTGAATTTTAAACTGATCCCTGCGTATACATGGACTTGACACTACGGCCCTGGGTCTTGCCTGCCAGGGTTGGACCCGCAGCCTCTGTTTTGGAGCTTCTGCCTGTGAATAGCGTTCAGTGGCTCGGGCTGCAGCTTCACCCAGATGGAAAGCCCCGTCCTCTTTAGGTTTGCCTTTATTGAGGTTTGGCTGGGAAGGGGGAAACCTAGCAGTTACGCCTATTAAAATATTTCTAGCGTAATTCGTCGTGGTGGTTCTTATTCCGGAGTACTTGTGTTTGTTTTTATTTCATTCTGCGTTAGTAGAAGCCGTTCTGTTCTGCAATTAGAGAACGCGATTTAATTCGTGGTGTGTCTTATACGTCCCTTGTGCAGACAGGATTATTGCTGTTCTGCTTAAAAATATCTGTGGAAGTACTGCTCTTGTGTAGTCAGATATGGTCAAGGAAAAAACGTCATCTCTACTGCTTGGTGTGTCCTTGATGAATTTATACATCGACCGCTTCAGTGAGAGAAAACCGAGCTGGAAACGCGTGAATCAACCGGCAGATGCTAGTCCTAGAAAGTCTCAGCCTAAAGGACTGATGTAGGTAAGACATGGCAGGAATCGAGAGAAAAGCAAAGGCAGCATTTTAAATAATTTTATTTACTTTCATGTTTCCTCTCAGAAAAGACAGAGGCAATACTGAGAAAAGAAAGGTTTGAAGGAGAGGAGATGGAGGTTGGTGGAGAGGGCTGCTGGCAAAGGTGGTAAAAACATGAACCAAAGGAGAATGAAGTTTTCCTGCACTGATGTCTTCTCGTAGCTTAAGCACTTACTTGATCTGCTGTTTTCTTAAAGATACCGAGGTTGGAGGTGGGTGCAGGCAAGGAATGGAGGCGGTGAGTGGGTGGTTGGATTTTTACCTGGGTGCACCTGAGCTGTTTCTCAAAGCGGTACGAATCCGAGTGGGGGAACGTGGAACAACTTTGAGAAATTTTTTTGGAAAGTGACTCATTGCAACTTACCCAAAGTGACCTGATTTAGTTAAATGAGGCTAAATATAACCCATGTGAAAAGTACTGACATGTGGGAGGAGACGACAGCAGTTGGCTCTCAGCCCCTCTGTTCTGCAGGGAACATCTTTCGCGACTGGTGACTAATAATTTTTACTCTTGCTGGCTTTGGAAATAACATCTCTGCTCCGTTACCCCCTTCTAGGGAGAGGAAGAAAATGCACTGTTCTTATTCTCTTGCCTCTTACCTGCCTTTCTGCCTTTCAGCTTACTGCTATGGACAGTGCTATCACCCTGTGGCAGTTCCTCCTCCAGCTCCTCCAAGAGCCTCAGAACAAGAATATCATCTGTTGGACCTCCAACGACGGGGAGTTCAAACTGCTGCAGGCAGAGGAGGTGGCCAGGCTCTGGGGAATCCGCAAGAACAAGCCCAGTATGAACTATGATAAACTCAGCCGTGCTCTCAGATACTATTATGTGAAGGTAACGAAGTCCGTAAATCCACCTCAAATCCTTATCCCTCTTACCAGCTCTGGCCTAATGAGCTTTGGTTCCGTTTTCATTCTCTTCAAGGGGATAGGTGTCACTTCTGTCTTCCAGACTTAAGTAAGGTGTACTAGTTTAGGTGTTTTTTTTCTTCTGTTTATCATTGTGCTGCATTTCCTCCCCAGTTATTTTTTCACAAGTTTATAGATAGCTTTGTGCACATTGCCTTCTTTGATATATGTCTGCACTTAGGTGAAGCTGCCTTTGAATACTAATTCCCTTTCCAAAAATGTGCACCCTTACGAGGGTTAAAATCCTCGTGACTCCGGTTTAAGCAGCACGATGACGATGATGATGGAGGTGGTGAATATTGCACCAGCGTGAGATCTTTTCTGCAGTTTTCTCTATGAAGGGGCTATCAAAATAAGAATTTTCAGTGAAGCAGCCCAAAGTATTTTTCTGTTTCTCCATGTATTGAGAATTACACCTCTAATAATGTGGTCAATGAGTTTAGTCCGGCAGAGTAAGATGCTTCTCTAATGTCTTCTAATATCTTGGGAGGCCCTTTCCTTAGTGCACAGGTAGTGTCAAAAAGCTGAGCTAGAACCACTGTGTGGGAGTCTTCCCTTCGTTTCAGTAAGCCATTTATCCCACAACTCGTACTGTGTGGGTGTAGGAGATAAGAAAAATAAAACACAGTTTCTGAGGAACCTGCCGATTTGTAGCGGGTGGTAGGTTGCTTGGAGTTTATTACTGGGTAGCGCAAATGTGACTTTGCACTGCGAGCTCTCAGTAATAATAATTGTACAATAAATGAGAATCTTCTGAGGTCCAAATTGCGTGTGGCATTTTCGCTTAGGAGCAAAACAAGTTGAGCATCTGCTATTTTGTGGTGTTGAAATAGCTGATTAGCCTACATCCTGCTGACTAGTTCAGCTACTTATTTTCTTTTATTATCCTCTTATTAAGAATGAAGGTGGTTTGATCTGAAGCCTTAGCTCTCAATTCTGCAAATCTGTAAGCTTTAATTCTGCAGGTTCTTCTGTTAGATTATGCTTACTGTACCCAGGCCAGTGATACTTGCTGAGTATTTTTTCGTTTCTTAGATCAACTGTTAAATGGAATTGCTTGGCAATTTTAAGGCTGTTGTTGGTATATTTAATGTCAGGTTTTGGTGTTTTGCCTGGAAACGAGGCTTCTGGGGTATAACTGAATTGCAGGAGTGCAGTGTGTTTTTAAAAAAAATTAAAAAGAAACAATTTTTGATGAAAGATTACAGACCATCTAATGGCTCGGTCTATTTTAGGCCGTGTTTGTAGGAATAAAATGAATCTGAAGAAAGTCTAAATATATATATCTTCTTACCCACAGAATATCATTAAAAAAGTGAATGGTAAGAAGTTTGTGTACAAGTTTGTTTCTTATCCGGAGATTTTAAATATGGATCCGCTTGTCGTGGGCCGGATAGAAGGCGACCCCGAAATGCCTGGTTTTGCAGAAGTTAGCAGCGCTCCGAAGGACGTGGAGAACTGCGGGAAGGAGAAGTCTCAGTCCTGCGCTAAGTCGTCCAGCCGCAATGACTATATCCACTCAGGCTTGTACTCCTCTTTTACTCTGAACTCCCTGAACTCTTCCAGCGTGAAACTCTTCAGGTCCATCAAGATTGAGAATCCAGCTGAGAAGCTGACGGAGAAGAAACCTGCTCAGGACCCAACACCTTCCGTCATCAAGTTTGTGACCATGCCCTCCAAAAAGCCTCCCTCCGTGCCCCTGGTCTCCACCACCTCCGCAGTCTCTGCCACTTGCACGGCTTCTGCCACCTCAACTGCGTCCTCTCTTCCCCTGGGGTCAGAAGAAACTCTCCAGACCTTGGAGACACTCGTCCTCCCCAAGTTAACCGTCCCTGAGGCTCCAGCACCTTTGCCAAACTTAACCACCAGCTTCACCCCAACTCCACCCATCTCCTCGGTTTCTCCCACTCTGCAAGTTCCTTCCACGCCCCCGTCGCCCCCCCTGAGCTCTAACCCTGACCTGGACATTGACACAGACATAGAGTCTGTGGCTTCTCAGCAGCTGGAGCAGGCTCAGAGTCTTCAGCATCAATCCCCAGAGCCCAAAGAGCAGGATTCATCTGTGCTGGAGAAGGAATTTGCCAATCACCTCTCCAGATCTAAAAAACCCAAAGGGCTGGAGTTGGCTCCTACTCTCGTCATTACAGGCAGCGATCCAAGTCCGCTGGGGATTCTGAGTCCTTCTCTCCCAACTGCTTCTCTTACTCCAGCACTTTTTTCTCAGGTAACTTAATTCCCTTCCTGTTGGATTTGGGTTTCAAGCAACAACGGTGGTTATGTTATGTTTTAAAATGGTAAGGGAAGGCAAGTGGAAAGTGAATAGTCAACAGATTGTAGTTGGAGTTATGAAAATCATGACGTGTCACTCCCTTTTTTCTTCTTTTTTTTTTTGTTTTTCCTTAACACAATATAAGTTTTATTCGTAATCGGAATTGGCTTCCACCCCAGTGCGTGCCCGGGTGGTATGTCAGGGTACGTGCCTGTACGGCATTAACATGCGAAGGCAAAACCCAAACCAGCACCAGCAGATCCTTTGTAAACCTTGCCAGGGTGATACTGAATTATTTCAAAACCCCTGAACCCTGCCCTTCTCCTTCAGGCTGATTCTGAAATGACTTCAAAAATAGCGAACCACGGAGGTGTCTGTTTAGCATCTTTCTTTTGCTCGGTTCGGTGGGCCTTTGCTTAGGAGCCGAGTGTTGTGACTTTGCAGCAGTAAGAACGGCTGCTTAATTTGGTTGTTATCTTTGTGTGGGAAAGGAAAGCTTTTATACCTCATGGAAAAATTTGGAGGAGAACTGAATCCAAGTAGGCTGTTAAATTGTTCTGTATGTATTTAATTTCTTTCCTCTGATAAAGTGGAGCTAGAATGGAACTGTAGAGAAACTGCTGATTGAAAACTGGAATAGCTGAAGGCAGGAAAAGAATCGAGTGGGTTTACTCCTTTGGCACCTTTTGGAGTGTTTGGCCGGTGAACCTGGAACATCCAGAATATTCAGAAGCTGGATGTAAATGGCTTTTGTTGTGCCTTGAGCTGTCAGGTGTCACCTGGACCATGTGTGTGATCTTAAATTCATAGACCGAGCTTTCCAAAGCCACTCGTGGGTGCTGGAAACCCGATGGCAGGAGGAGGCTGGAGGTTACAGCGGGGTTTGGCAGCGTTTGGGAGAAGAGGGAGGATTGCTCAACAAGGGGAGGCAGAGCCAGGGCTGCTGTGGGGTTTGAAGGGAGGAGGAGGAGGAGGTGGGAGGAGGCAGAAGGAGGGAGTGGGAGTTCCTGCAATCTGGACCCAGCCCTCTGCAGCCAGAGGGACGCTTGCGGTGGGCTTTACACATGCTGTGCCTGGCTCGAGGCGCAGGTTTCGCGCGGCTGACTGCCTTCGTGTGTTTTGCAGACTCCCATCTTGCTGACCCCGAGCCCCTTGCTCTCCAGCATTCACTTCTGGAGCACGCTGAGCCCGGTTGCTCCTCTCAGTCCCGCAAGGTTGCAAGGTGCTAACACACATTTCAGGTAAGTCCCAGCAAGTTTTGCCAGTCTCTCCACGAGACCTGCAGGAATCGGTTAGCCCAAGCAGCTGAAGTAGAAACAGGGGAGTGTTCTGTTTTCTGTGTTAGCTTTTCAGAGCATTTACTTTCAGTGTTCGCCCAGTTTTATTTCAGTGTGTTGTGTTGGTATTTGAGAAATGTTTAATAGCAGTCTGTACTGTTATTTAGTGATATTTTTTCCTGGAGGTTGAATTTTGCTACTGTACTGGTTGTTTTAATTGTTTGTTAACAGGCTTCTTCTGTTGAAAGACATTAAATCTCACCTCTAGTAAGAAGGAGGATGATGTGTGTGATCTCTGTGGCAATACGTAGCGCAGTTACGATCTGCGTTCTGCTTTCTTGTTTAGAAACTCTGAGCTTCGCTATTGTAGTAAATATTTTTGTTTGACTAATATGTAAGAAAAAAGGTTCACTATATTTAAAGAAACAAATATCCTTTAGTTGTAATTACTTGCACTCTTCCTTCACGTTCTACTTTGGAACTGGAATAACCACATCTGTTGCCTGAGTCTGCTTAGGCAGAGGATAAAATGTAACTGCTTGTCTTTTGGGTTTATATCCGTCATCTCCATGGAGATGAAGGAAGTAGCTTATATGTACCACGAGGACAGGGAATAAACAAGTAGGTCTGAAAGTGCACTGGACATTTTTCTCTATAAATAGCTGATAATTAACTGAGGAACAATTTAGATCATGGTTTCCCAACAACCTGTATTAAAGTCACTTATTAGTTGAGGACGTCGGCAGTGCTCGGTGCAGAGGTTACAGCCCGCGTCCTCCCGGGACCTGCTTTGCTGCAGGCTGTGATGCAGGGAAATTCAGTAAGTAAAATAATTGGGGGAAGCCAGGAAGATTCTTTGAAAGTTTTGGGGTTTGTGTTCTTTTTCTTTGCTATATTTTGCTATTGTGTTTGGTTTGTTTTTTTTCCTGGGGCACGTGTACATGCATGGATATGTGAGGAACAGTAAATTTCAGTGGCCTCTTCCCTAATAATTTTTGTTTTGTCTCTTAGTTTCCGTCAGTGCTGAACAGTCATGGCCCATTTACTCTGTCTGGACTGGATGGACCCTCTACCCCTGGCCCGTTTTCCCCTGATCTACAGAAGACATAGCACATGAACTCACGGAGAGGACATACTGGCAAGCAAGGGAAAGACAGGACACTTATATTTAACCGTGTTTTTTTTAAATGAGCAATTTCTAATTCCACAGAGATTACCAACAATCATAGTTTTTGCCATTCCCAGATAAAATGCCTTTTTTGCAAAATTCCCTTTTTTTTTCAAGACCCAGGTTGGGAATGTATATGCAAACGCCTTAATAGGAGCTGAAGCTCCAGTCTCTTCTCTTCCCTCCTTGGTTTGGAAGACTTCACTCTGGTTAAAGGGAGTTTCGGTTGGTGTCGCAGTAACTGAGTCTGCACTGACTGCAGCAAAGAGAGCCGGAGAAGTCTTTTCTCTGCGACTCTTGGAAAAAACCCTCTGTTCTTCTGCTTCCTGTGCTGGGCAAGAAGAAATCTAATCATGATCGAAGCTGGCATTCCAGGAAATGCTTTGGGAAAGGGGTGTGTGCGCTCGGCTTTGCCTTGGGGTCTGATAACTTCTGCAGCAGCAGCACAGCCCGTGTCTTTTCTGCTGTAAAAACATCTCGTCTTTTTGCAGGGAGAAATTTTCAAGGAGTATTCAATGGTTGTGTTACTGAGAGACGGACAGTTTTTGAATGGCATTGTATAGCGACGGTCTGGCCCCTTGGAGAAGCAGTCTGGCTGGCTTCTGGATGCTTCCCTGCCCTGCCTTCGGTGAGGAGGCAAGGTCTGGAGACAAACAAGTGGTGGGATTAGTTCCTTTCAGTTCTCAGAAAATTTGAATGCTGAAGTCCAAACATTTCCTGTGCCAGAGAGCCGTTACAGAGCCTGTGGTCTCACTGCTCGAAGACGAGCAGGACGGTGGATGTGGAGGGTGAGGCGAGGTTGCTGCCTGACGCCAGAGGTTCGGACCCCAACGGTGGGTGAGAACACGAACGTCTGAATGTTCACGTTACTGCTCTTTTCCCACAGTTGAAGTGGAGGAGCTCCTCTTCTACCAGCTCTTCTCTCGAGTTTTGCATTACATCTATTGCTTTTTTTGAATTGAGGAAGCACTCAGACCCCAAATGAGTTAAGCCAGCTGGGAGGGGCACCACGGCGTATCAACCTTTTTGTAGATTTGCGCTTGCATTCCTTTTCTTGGTGGCCGTGCGTGTATGGATTAATACCACAAGATTAGTTTCCAGAGAGGTTTGAAGCACAGATTAAATGCAATTTGTCGTTAGATCTTTACACCTCAGGAGGCCTTTTTAAGAGCCCTGAGGGACGAAAGAAGAGAGACTCTCCTCTTGTGGCCCCTCCGAGGCTTGAGTGGCGTGGTCTGGACGGCGTGCCCCTCCACTTTGGGCATCTGATGTCAGGCAGCAACTTCTCTTTTGCTACTCTGTGCGCTCAGTTGGTGACGTAAGATAAAATCTTCTCCATAAAATCCCTGCTAGAGAACAGATGGAGACCGTCTCTTTCCTTTGGCATCCTCGCTGGCTGTCTTCAGAGTTTAAATGAGCAGAGGAGGATTGTACCTTTGCAGCACGAGGAGCTGACGGTGTACGCTGTATATATTGCACCTCTCTCATGGATAAGTGGTGAACTCAAGCTTTCCAGAGTTTTCTTTTGCCACTTTCTCAGACTCTGAATTCACTTTAAAGCGAATGACAATACCCTTAATGACTTAATTTACTGCAGTGATGTTACCTTTCTATATCCGAGCGTTGAAATGTGTAAACCACTTAGTGCGTGCTGGGGTGACACCCGAGACAGGTGGGTGTAATGGAGTCGTTTTCTGGGCATTTTTCCTCCAGCGAGTCCCCTGCCCAGCAGGAGGTGGGAGAAAAGACTTTTATGCCTTCTTCGGGTGGAGGTAGCAGGGAGAAAGCTCGTGTAGTGAACTGTCTTCCTGTTCGGTTCCGTCAGAGGCACGATACTGCTTCTTGGTTTAGACATCAGCAGATCAGGATAAAGTTCCTGTGCTAGCGGCTCTTAAAATGACAATGTGCAATATTGAAATTTATTTTTTTTATTTTTTTTTAATGCAGAAAGAAAGCTGCAGTTCATAATTAAGAGCAGGCATCTGGAATTTTCTGGTTTGCGTAGTGGCTTAGAGTCTGCTCTAGAAAATATATATAGCTATGTATAAATAGCAGCACTTTTAATGGTTGTCTTAGGTTGGCCAATTTTATGCCCACTGAGCGTGTGGACTCGAGAGCGACATTGCAGGCTAGGATTAGAGTTTAAAAAGAATTAATGAGCACTAAAGACTTGCAATTTAATTGTTTCCCTTTCCTTGTGCCCTATGGAGAAAAGCCAAGTTTTATTTGTTTAAAGGTTGTGTATGTGCACACCTGCACTTAACTCTTTGTGAACTTTATCACTTTCAGCGTAGATATGCAAGAGAACCAAATGCTGACAGAGCTCGCCAGCCACGCTTGGCCTGGATTCGTGCTCCTCTCTTTAGAGAAAGTTGACGTGAGGTGTCGGTTTCAGTCTGGTAATACCCAAATTCCTGCGAGGTAGCACTGAGGAGCTGATTGCTTTTGCTTCTGAAGCCCCTGCCCGGGAAATACGTAGGATTATAACCTCAGGGGGCGGTCGGGAAAGCGAATTGAAAAGGGAGGGCAGGTGGGAGAGGAGCGGCTCGCTCGCCTTTTCTCCATTACAGCTTTCAGGTCACTTAAGGTAATATTATCTTGTATATATGCTGCCTCATTAAACACACATTTACTAACAAGTACGTAACTGCCAGCTTTTTTTGGATCACATTCCTGACAGCGCAGTGTCGCTGTGACTTCTCGGAGCTTGGTTATGTGACTCGCTGGTACTCTGCTCGCTCACTTCAGGAGCTCTTTGCAGCTTGTTTTTAATTTAGCGTAGGGCAGGCGGGGGTTAATATAGACTCTCTTTTAATTATCATGGTAGCAGTCTGTAATATGGGTGTAGTACCGTGTGGGTTTAGAAAAAAAATAATAGCGCAGCATTACAGGAACAGTTTATTATGTTACAATTCGTGTCGCTGAAGTAGCCATGGTCTTGTTTGAGTGCTTGGTAATATTCGCATCGGTTAATTCGTAGATGGTGGTAGAATTAGAGTGGGTGAGCATGGAAGCTGAACATCTGTCTCGCTTCTGGAAATCTCTTTTACATGTCACTGCCGCTGTGGAATAGTACTGCGGAGTTCTTGCCCTGCCGGTGCTGTGTGTGCTGTATCTGGCTTTTTTTTTTCTTTTGAGATCCTGAACTCTCAGGATGCCACTAGCAACACGTGCTGCCGGCAGAAACAACGCGTGGAGAGCAGAAACGGGTTTGTAATACCCTGCGGTTATAGAACCACACTTGCTCTGTCTCACCTGTTTTCAGAGAATGTGATCCTAGAAACGAAGGTGACGGAGGAGAGCTGCTTGGTTTGGGTTTTAACTTTGCAGCAGCTTAAGTCTAGATCCTCGTTTCGGGAAATGGGTCTTCAGCAGTGACGGCTGAATGTAATTCCTATGCACTGTCTTTGGCACATCCGAGCTGCGTTTTGCGATAGGTCGGGAAGGGACAAAATTCCTTGCATTTGCCAATTGATTGTTTTAAGCTTGAGCATCCTACAGTTTCAGTATCCATGTGATCGTTGGTGTAACGGAGCGTGCGTTATGACAGGAAAGGCTTTGGCTGTCCACTGCTTTGTTTGGGATAATTTCTCCCCCTTGATATGTTTCCAGACCTCAGCTATCGAGCAGATTCTTCTCGATTTTTCTAGCGTTCATTTTAACCACAGTGAAGGCTGCTACGTGCATATCTCCCTTTAGACAGCTTTTCAAACCGCGGCGAGGCGCGGCAGTGTCAGATTCCCTCGTGATTCACGCTTTCACGTGAGAACTCCTGCAGGCTGCCACGAACGGAGGAGCTCGCCTCGCTGCTCGCCCTTCCTCGGGTGAGCTCAGGTGCAGAGTTCTCGCCCCCTTTTGTAGCATTTTTCTAGCGACGAGGTCTGAACCCGCGGTTCCGACGGCCCGTTGGCCACCCATGGTTTATTCATGTATCTTTTAGTTACCTTTTGCTACTGTTTTATAGTATTTTTGTATGTAGTCGTGTTTTACTATACGATTTAACCTCTTCCATTTTTTGATGCGTATTTGTTTACAAAGCACATCTCAGTGTTGTATCAAGAGGCTATCTTGGTATTGTCAGCTATGAAAATAAACTACATCAGTAGTTAAGGAACATTGTCAGAGTTGACAGGTATTTTCAAACTTGATGTTTGAGTTTTGGGTGTCCATAACAATTTTGTTCTGTTTCGTTCCTTAGTTCTCCCGTGTAAGAAGTTACACGTACCTTCTGGCCGCTGAGGTCCTGGGTAGGGGTCATTTATTTTGTCTTAAAAATCACCGAGCGCGGCCTCGCAAACAAACAGCCTGAGCCCCACAGGATCGTACGCTCGGCAGATAAATCAAATTAGAATTGCAGTCACGTTGGGATGTTTTAATGAGGTGTAGTATGTCTTGCCTAAACAGGAATTTTTATGGTTTGATTTAAATTTAATTAAACAGTAATTGGCAATGGCTGCTGTTTAGTCTGAACAGTATTAGCAAATCTGCTTAATGTGGAAGCCTTTGGCTATTGCCATCAAGTTGCGTGGTCGTTAATATGTGACATGCTAAGGTTGATCTGCTGAAATCAGGCGCTGTCAGATGAAGATTAAAAGATAAAAACGCGGTGACAGTTGTTTCCCGGAGTCCTTCGGGGCTGTAACTTCAGGAGGCTTCGTCTGCGTTGACGTCCGTGGACGTGGCGTTCCGCTGCGTAGGAGCCCTTCGTAAAGGCTGAATTTTTGAAAGCAGAACCAGATCTTTTCGCCACAGCCTGTTTTTAGTCATAAGGGTGTAAAACAGGAGCTCCAAAGCCGCCGGGATGGCAGTGCTGCCCTACTGCTGCAACACGTGCTTGTCGCCCGCGGAGCTTCCTTTGCCCTTTCCTCACCCACCTGGTGCCGTCAGGAGCAGAAGGGTCGAGCTTTGGGTTTGGGTGTCTGATGGGTCTTGAGCTGAGCAA